TACTTATTCTCCCTAGATGCCACAAGTGTATTTCACGCAAACCCCAGGGAAAGTAGCTCTCTGCTAACTTTCAGTCAGTTCGTCCTACTTGAAGTCTTCTCTCATTGAACCTGCTGCATAAAAGGTTGCGTAAGTGAATTACATCTTCTGTTTAATTGGATTCGTAAGGTTAGGGGTTTTAATACATATTTTGAGAAGCAAACAGCAGGCAGTAAATTCTAAAGTTACGAGAACCTACTGTTCAGTCCGGGAAGCCGGTACTTGGAGCGGCGAACCACACAAGTGTTGCATTGCACAGGACGACAGGGAAGATGCCGATCACAAAATCGCTGATCTCTTCGTTTCACGGTTACGTTTCACCCTTCAATTCTTGATGTCATTCTCCTGAACTGCCGAAGGATGGCTTCATATTCATGCCTCGCGGTTTGGTAACAATCTCCCTCTCAGAGTGCCAGATTATGAATTATGTGATCATCGCATTGAGCTTACGCAAAAGTCGACATGATAATTCTCTAATCGCTCGCACACACACGCTCATCTCTTGTACATTAACATTTGTGACTGTCGATCCCAGTCAAGTAGTCGACCCCGTTTTATTATACTCTTCACCAGAGAGCCACTTTGGAATCTCTTAACTGTGTCCCGAATTCTCGTGAAGTATAAACACAATCAGTTAGTTGTTTGCAAACTTTTTTGTTGTTTGTTTTGTGTCAATAAATGTTTTTAATTCCAATACAATAAAAACATTGCAATAAAAGACAAACATGTGAGGTGGGGGGTGATGTCAAGGCAAAATTGAAATCAATGAAATGTAACCAGGCAGAGATGGAAACTGTTGTCAACCCAGATGAATTTTTGTGATCGACATCAAAAGGGAACTATGCACTTTTATTCTGAAAGATCAAAGAGGTTTTAGACTTTCTTTGTGTGGACATTATTTTATAAATTCGGTATTCGGTTAGTTTATATCGTGGAAACACGAAAACGGCCGATTTATGCGTTTTTTTTGAGCCGTTTGCCAAATACAACACTGCACTACAAATCGCGGAGTTGCAAGCTTATAAGATTCTAATACGCAAACTGGAATGGAAAAATCGCAGAAACATTTGTTGAAATTATTTGAAATGTTTTGTTCCATAACAGTAGATAGGTGTTGTCCAAGATATGATAAGGCATCTCTAGTTTGGCACTTCATTGGATCATGTTTCACCAGGTACTGTTGGCAACTCCCGACCTTATTGGTAGATTAACTGAGTGAATGCAAAATTTAAAAAAGCTGTCTCAGACCCAACGTCTGTTTGATCACATGTGCACGTGATGACATAGCATGTAAACACACGTGAGTTGTCATGCCTACTTACCCTCGAAGTGACAAGATAAATGCATGAGTAAACATGCGCAAAATGTACTACCGTAAGGTACAAGCAGGAATGATCTCTTTTGCAAAAGACAAGTTTGGTAAATGGAGTAAATTATGTGTAAAATCGGACTGATCCATTTCATACTCTTGATCTGAAAGTATGAAACTGCGCATGGTGAAACAGAGTTGCGAATCGTCAATTATTGATTTCTCTCTCTCCAAGATCAAAGGACTGTTCACGTTTTGCAGTAACAGCCAAGCAGGATGGCCTTTATGTGTACATTGGAAATAGATCACTAACAATTGACTCGGGTAGCCCCAGTTGAGCGTTCGCTATCTGTTTGACAATTTAAACTTCGCTAATATTGCTTAAATGTTCACATCTTTAGTGATCATTGATAATCATTTATTCGAAATTAGTAGGATTTATTTAGCAATAAGACCAAGCTTTATTCAGGGTACCATTCTATTCTCAACAGTTCTTTTAGTTCTACTGTACAGGTCTAATCGAAACTGAAGCAGCGGGTCCCTGTGAAACACTTGTCGGCTCGTATAGGCAACAGCATTTATACTGAAGTAGATTTTTTCCAAATAATAATAAACAAGTCTTGGTAAGTCTTTATAGACGTGATTTTTCTGATTTGTTTATACGCAGTAGATGGAATGGTTCAGAATGTAGCGGATACTTCCATTTCGTCAGTAGTGGTTGACCTAGACCATGATGAGTTAAGAGATAACTAATGAGAATGGAACAGTTTTTATTTACAACAAATTAACATTGATAATAAGCAAGATATAAAGTTTGTGTACACTAATAGTTGATTGGCCTGCCTTTGTTCTTTAGGACTTTTCGATTCTCTTCGGCGTCGAATCCAGCAACTTTGTTATGAAGTTATTTTCTATTTTGTGTTCCATTATATATCGCACTTTTGCTTCCAATTTCCAATGTATAGGCAGCACATTGACCTCTTTCTTCAAGACAGAAAACAGATTTTCAATCACATTGAAATCCGGGCTATTAGGAGGAAGTTGTATCAACTGGACCTTAGACTCACGCATCGTTTCTGAAGTATAAAAGCAAATAATAAGAGAACCAGAATCCCTGACCAAATAAATTTACTAACTTCTCGTGAAACATGACATGGAGTGTTATCCTGAAAACGGTAACTTTTCATGAAATTCTGAAAACATTTTCTTCATTACTGATGCAAATTTCCCACTATTTATGGTGCCTTTGACTGATTTCTACCGACAAGCCTGACCATGTTTTACTTCTGCCCAGATGAGTAATCTCGACGGGTGAGAAAATTCCATTTGGTAGAATAATTTCTTTTGGGAAATTCTCACCACAAATGACTTTTTTATGAGCCTTCCAAGGCTCGTCGCACACCATGCACTTGTCGGCAAAATAAACCGATCACTTTTGTTAACGTTAAAGCATTGGGCAAGATTTGATATCGGAAATCCCAGCTTGTGTGCTCGTGTGATTATGTTGCTGTCCTCTTCACTGAGATAACGGGAACTTTTGGTTTTGAGCGCTGCATTATAGTGACAACAATACGAACATTTAAAGATGTGCACAAAAATGACCTTGATTTCAAGGTTGACTTCGACTGAAGTGGTATTTCTCGAATTCAGTAAGCTAGATATCAAAGATAGATTATTATTATGAAAACTTATTTAATAAAATGTCTCTGGGTTGTGAAAGAATTTCATTTGGTTATTTAACAGAGTTGCTATAATGGATTATATATCGAATAAAATGATACCTCATTAAAAATAAGCTAGTTGGCAAGGGCTTATGGAAGTAATTTGGGATAATTCTTGAGTCATTCCTATTCGAAAATATTTCGTTGTCAAACTTGATAAAGTTTGTGGTTTTCATGTTCAGTTCATTTAATCTTGGCACTCAAGGTCAAGGTATTTGTCCTGCCTCATTCACTCGGGTGTGTCACCATACGTGCTGCAATCGTTGCACCTCTTACATGCTCAAAGTTGTGTTTGTTTATTCCACTCTTCCTTTCTCTTCCTGTAGATACTTTGTTTCCAAACGCTTTTAAGGCACGAGATCGAAAAACCTGACAAATGCGAACTTTTCACGCTCTAAGATGTAGCAAATACGTGCGTGTGGATAACTGATTTTAACTGCGGAATCAATCTTTTTTATTTCACCGTATACGCACCGCCCAATGAAACCAATACAAAACTCATCTTTCCTACGAGAGAAAGGAATCTTGAGAGCATTGATAGGGACAAACAGGACACGGTAACCAATTCCTCCTTGGTTCCTTGGCCACACTTCCAAGTTGAATTTGCGCAAACGTCTCATCTGAATCAAATTTCTGATACTTTGGACCAAAACTTTTAAAAATTTATCCGTTCGGTGGCATAAACTTTCACAGACTACTCAGAGAACCAAAATTATAGTTAGGTGAATATGTTGCTGAGATGGAAGTATTGACTAAATTGCAGTAAGAATTTCGCGAGAGTATCTCCAAAATGAAAGTTAGAGTAGCATTGTTGCTCCACGTGTGTCCACAACAGTTTCGGTCCATCCCAGATGATGCTTTAGCACAGAAAAATAAAGGCTTTCGCTGAAGTGAGCAAAACGTTGATCGAAACGGTCATCTCTATAGACTCTCGAACAGAGGGTTCCACAAGATCTTTCACCATGGAGTGGCTGTGAAAATGAACAAACAACGTTCTTGTTGTAAAAACATTTGAATGGGTGTGCACATACAGAGTTCCTGTGCGGTCGATGGGCTTATCACAGTGACTTAACAAGAAAAACTACTGCTTTTCGACCCATCATATTGATATTTACCCTGTGAAGGAATCAAGTATTTCCATTTCATTATGATTTGCTTCATTACATTTCTAGTCTGGCAGTCGAATAAATTTAACTCTAAACCAGTGCACGGTATATCTACATTCACCTGATTGGAGATTTTTCCACCTCATCCATAAGGGACTTTACGGTATAATTTGCCTAGTTTTGGCCTTGCAGATAAACATGAATTCCATTGTATGTGCAATTATCATGCGGTGTGCACAGGAAGGGATGAACAGCACAGCGTTGATAAATACTGTTTATTCATAAAACAGTCGGAAACCCAAGTTCCGGGATATAAGGTGGCAAGTTCTCAAGTATCCGAAGAGTAAGCGGACGTCATTCAGTCAGACGACAATAATTTGCCCAAAAACAAAAAGTCGGGTGAAGATGGAAGGTTCCATCCCCGAAACTTGGGTCTTTGATCACACTAATGCTAGAGTATCCACCTCTAACGCATCCCGGAAATGAAATCACTTCAATTACTTCCCTCAGAGTTTTCGGCTTGCACACAAAACTCATTGTCATATTACTGAAGACGTTTGTGCTACTCATTGCCGATAAACCATACCCGTATTTATGAACTGGCGCTTAGAATATACTTCGGTTTTATAATGTACCCTTACCATGTTTAAGCACAGCTTTGGCGCTCGAGTCCGGTGTGTGATCCTCCCTTTCTCGGTCGAGGGAAACACCGGAGTGATCCGGAAACGCGATCAAGGCCAGAGTGCCTGAGTGTGCCTACGGCTGGACAACATGGGATGCAGTTGCGGTAGCCCAAATTAAGTTGTTCACAGCAGGCCTCCAAACATGTCCGAGTTGTTGTCTGATTCGTGGACCCTTGGGGATCACGTGATCACAGTTCACCGACATCCGGCTGTCTGCACAACGCACTCTCAACTGGCTGCCGTCCGCAGTGATTGAGAAGGGGGAACGTTAGATATTTTAAGGGTTATCATTCCATTAGGCAAATAGACATTGCCGTAATCATGTGACCTGAGCATCTACGATACACTTTGATCGAACAAAAAGGGACTACAATAGCTGTTAAGGCACAACAGAATTTTTACTGGCTTTTTGGATTATTTCAAGCAAATGAAATTATTGTGTGCGTCTGTGTGTGAGTCTGTGCTAACTTCCATAACTATCTGAGCGAAGCCTGGGATACACATACGGATATGTAGATCAACACGTGCTCATAAAACCTATGTGCTGCTTCTCCCATTATGTCTAATAAACTGTCTGAATGAATGTCCTGCACTGGCATTGGCTCCAAACACACAAACGTATGTACACACACATTTGCGTGTGCAACTTCGCCGTCTCAAAACACACACCTATGTGTATGCGTACGTGGATTTATGACATCGTCTGTCCCACGCACCGATTGGTTGAACCCCGTGTACCGCGTGATGTGTGCCACAATCGATCCGCATAGATTGTCATGCCTTGGCACTTGTGTTCCGCCCCAATGAGATGGGTAGACGACTATCATAGTTACAGCGACATTTTTCAGTCGCGAATCAGTCAGTCCTAAGGAGTGACGACGACGACGAGGACAACGACAATCAGAACCAAAACCAGAAAAAGAATAACGGAAAATGGATTGGTGGAGGAACATGAATAACAAAGGTGTGCGTCTACTGCCGACCATCCATTTGTTAACCGTTTAATAATTGCACTATCGTTTATTGTATTCTTCATTTTGAATTCGCTATTTATAAACATAATAATGCGTGCCTCTTGTGGAACTCTCTTGTCACCAATCTACAGATGCCCTGCTCAATGAGCTTCATCAGACGAATGTTGAAATCCTGAAACGCAACAAGGCCTCCGGCGCGTACTCAGACACACGACATGCAACCGACGTCAAACTCCATCCAGAGCCATTGCAACCGACAGAAACTGACCTGGATGCCCTTTCGTCCCCGGGTGCATCCAGCCCATCAGTTAGCGCCAAAACGTCCAACGATACAGGGGCAGACTCGGCTGGATTGCAATACGACTGGAGTGCCATCCTGGATACGCTTGATCGATCGGATTATGTGGGCATGTCCAATGGCTATTCCTATCCACCAAATGGTAATTACCGTATTGCATAGAACATCTCAATGTCTATAGAAGTACTTTCAGCTAAATCAAGACTTAAACGTTGTTAAATTTTATTAGTGATAAATTTTTTTTGATAATTAATAACTAGCTGGCTGTAGATATTTGCGCTTCTGTCTACGAAATCTGTTTGTAAGCCGAACAGCTATGGTGAGTCATTGGTAAATGTGCTTGGTTTCAGATAGGGTAGTACTGTACGAATGTAGTTATCAAATCATTTTATGATGGTTTACATACTGGAGCACTTAACTATTCGTATCGAGGAGAGTTTCTGATGGTCGATATTGGCTTATGAAAGCCAATATCTATGTGCGGGTCTGTCAACCATTCAGTTATTGTAAACCCACGATTGATTTTCACACAATAATAACTAATTTAAAGTAAAAGTGAATAGATATATCCCGCCAATCGATTGCCGAGTTAGTGATTCAGACTTCCTTTGTAATTTACACCAGCCTTATCTTATTTTAGTGTAGTTCACTAATGATTCACATCTGTTTTCCACTTCATTTTTAGAATCGGGTAGTTCGAGTGTGAAATCGCCTTTCTCTCCAAACAGCGTGATTCAGTAAGTTCCATTTTGCGTTCTTCGATGAAGCATTACCAAGTTCTCATTAAATAGTCGGTGGTGTTAGTCGCGTAATTTGCATCTAGCTTCAACAGCCACCTGTCCGCATTTGTTGATATCGATCATGTGTACATGAAACAAGCTACAAAACGCTGGTACTTATGGGCATTGGTTACTAAAATAGTAGTCTTTTGAATTTGGAGAGTACATAAATTGGAACATTCCTGAGGGGCGTCATAATAGCTTTCTGGTTAACGCTCACCCTTAGTCGGATGCACATGGAGATTAGTCAACAGTGTATATCTGCCCAATTCACAAGGTTTCGAACCCGGGAGGGATAATATACGAATCTGGTCAAAATTAATTCGCAATATTAGTTGTTTATTTAAATAAACTGTATTCAAATGTAAAACCTCAGGAACAATCATTTAGAATGCGTTCCAATGGCGTAGTGTCAAACTGGAGCGAAACAACAGGGCATTTACTTGATGTTTCATTCAAAAAGATCTGTCGAATAATTCTGATACTTTCGATACTTTGGTCGCACCGATTAACCGAGGAGTGAAATTCCGTTCGCTTCTAGTGTGTGTGTTTCTGTGTGCACGCGTGTTTGGGTAGCAAATATGACATCCCTTTCGCCCGAATGATTCTCTCTGGCATTATCACAACCCACCGAATTGATTGGATTGCCAGTTGTTGGAAACCATTGACATACATGCAGTCTGCTGTAGCTGTACTTGATTGTGATTAGATTTAGGCGTTTAGAAAAAGACCATCTGGGATTTTCAGACCAGCTAACAGCAGATAAGATGGGAAAGCAACAACTAAAATTAGATCACGGGTCACGTGCTCAAATTGCAACCAGGCGCTGTTCACGCATTCCAGATGCTCACAAAAAGTTCAGTAATGAATTTATGAAACTGTTTGGTGGAAAAATGCCCCGAAGGGTAGAAGTTCTTACTGATTTCTTTCAAGGTTTGCAGTAGGATCAATCGAAGTAATATCCCTAAAACGACGGAAACACGTTTCGTACAGATAAGCAGAAGTCACATCTCCTGTGAGCCACTTACATCGATGAGGGTTGCATTACGAATATTGGTTTTCGATAACCTGCTCGTCATTCATCGATTGGTACGGAACGCGTTCCGCCAATCATGGCTACACTAGGCTTTTGGGGAGAAGTAAATTTGTGGAAAAGTGAACATAGTATTTCGCCCTAATGAAAACTGCCACACTGATTTCTCAAATGGCTCTAAACTTACTGTCAATTTTGCACTTACGCAAATACAGAATAGAAGAGTGTGAAGTATGTTGGAATTCTATTCTGAAAGTGTGGAAAGTAGTCTCATTTCTAACCGTGAACCAGGGTTGTGTTCTCGCATCTCGATAGCTTTACAGAGGTGTATTTGTTCTGTGATAATACATGATGCACCGTACACCTCAAAAAAGAATTAGGCCAGGATTTCGGGGTAAATGCTTTTCAGGGTAGCACTTTAACTTTTGCACATTCTAGTTATACCTGTAAGACGTTATATATTATTTGAATGAAGGAAAAATAGTTCGGACGTAGGCATAATATGCATGAATTTTGGCTGATGTGCAAAAGATAATCAAAGTTAAGCAAAATGGGATCCACATGGGCAAAAAATTAGTAAATAGGAGAGTGATTGATTATAAAAAAGGTCAACCTGTTCAAAATAATCCGGAAAAGTCTCGGAAGTATTCCAGGCTGTTTCTACTGATAAAACTTTGCCACTACGTTTGACATCACCCTGTATTAAACAAAACGGTTAGTAGGGTATCTACCTCGCTTTTTGTTGTGGCATCTTTGATATTCCAAAACATTCTTCTCGATAATTATCAAGCAGTGATTGGGACGACCACCTATCACACTTCATGTTCACTTGCAACCCTCAATTCATTCAGTTTGCCGTATAATCTGAAAGCACTGAACTCGAGTTTCTTTCTGGTTGGAGCTCATCAATAATGCAAAAAGGTATGCGTTCGCATGCATGTCATCTTGGTGTCAACCAGCTCCCACCTGAACCGATGAGAATAGCTAATTTATTCAAGGTTACTCATATTTCGTCTTCAGTGGCAGTCAGCCAGTCAGTTATTTTCGTTCCCACAGCAACTAAAAGAGACAGGGTTGACTAGCTGGAAAATAAATTTGAAACCTTCCGCCAGATCAGGTTTTCCGGAGGGATTCGGATAAATTTGCCGCAATCAAATCTAACGAGACTGATTTTAACTCTGATACAATCATTTCAAATCAAATTACCTATTTCATACCACTAATGACAACTAACACTGTTAAATGTGAATCATGGAATACATTACATACTTGCACTGTATTACGGCATTGTTGTTTCAGGTAATGTTTTAAATGTATACAAAATGTACATTTTGATTTTCCTGACACATTCACTTTTCTCTTTTTGGTGTACGATCGGACTAGCAATGGTAATGGACATTCATCTGGTTTTTCGTCTCCGACCCTACTGGAGGAACAGAACAAAGAGACCAGAAGAGCTGCAGAACAGGCTGCTCAGCAACTGGATGATTTACTGATATCCCTGGGGCAATTTAAAGTGAGTTGATCAGGCGGTGGTCCTGCTTTCAAAACAATTGTTCGTTTACCATGCCCGAGATTCAATAGGCACAGAAGCAGATTGGGGGGAGGGGGTAGGGGGTAGGATAAAGAAAATGTCAAGCCGATAGTTTGTCTGGTCTCATTCGAAACGAGCAATGTCATGGTCCAATTCACAGTCAAGTGTGTTTGTGTGTGTGTGTTCCCGCGCGCCCTGAGTAGATGAAGCACATGCTGTGATATTTTTCCGGTTAATGATTGCGTAACCTTTATTAGAACGTCCCCATTCTATATGGTACCACTGGCAGAGTTTTCCAACTCTCCTTTATCACCTGGAAAATAACTTGAGCTAGATGATGGTGCACCAGTAGAACACTAGATACCTTCTTTCCCGCAAAGTGCAGTTTGTGGTCGGTTACTTATTCACTCCTGCAATGCATTGAAAAAGCGATAATAATAATAATGATAATAATCGGGTAATAAGAGTAAGATCTTACTTGCAGTCGCTTTTCACGTACAACTGTCAAGTTGAACAACTTAATTTAAGTTGGTGTGTTTCTCTGGTCAGCTGATTTCACACACTTCTTTCTTTCGGCTCCAATTATATGTGTATAATTGATCCTAGTGTTACAAGGTACTACTCGCATTTGTGAGTTGTATGTTTACAGTGCCAAAATTGAACATAGTGTAGTACTAGAGTGAATCAGTGTGTTCAAAACCGTATCTACAGAAACTGCACGTCTGCCGTTGGAGCGGTTCAGCATTTTTTCTTCTGCATGTTTGTCAAAATTAGGATACTTCTATCGTTGTTCCAACCAGATAACTCTCCCCAACCCTGCACTGTTTTCTGGAATTTTAACACTATGCCATTTTATACTATTGGTCACTAGTTTTGCAAAGTTTCCAATCGGTCGAGCAGCAGTTCCCCCAATGGTGTCAACAAAAAGTGTTCAGATTTGATCAATTATTCCCATTGGAGAGGAGAGGGAATCAGATTATCACTTCACCCATTAAACTGAACGCAGCCACCACAAAATCCCCCCATTTCATTGCCTCACTTTCTGGTTCATATATGCATCATTTTGACGAGTTCGGTAGGCGGACGCATTAGAAGCAAAATGATCGATAGAAACATGTGACTCACGGGAATGCGCTTCTCTAGTTGTACATTGGCCTGTCAGTATTCAAGTAAATTGCTGCTGCTCAAACCATTCTCCCATGTTCTGTTGGGAGGTTGGAATTATGTTTGTGTTCTCACAAATTTTATTTTTCGTACCTGGTCCTTTAGAGTATCACTTGTTTGCGAAAATATCGAGGAATTCGTGGGGCTATGATCGAGACCACGCGCAAAAAAATGCTGTCCAGCGCTCGTTTTGCAATCATTGAAACCGATGCGAGCGTTTGTTTGAAGCAAAAACTGTGGCCCACATTCATCGATTAACTTTATTTGAACGACCAACCCTGAGTTCCAGTTTAGAAATTCCTAAACCTATTCTGACCTTGACCAGATATTCACATGTTCTCCTAACAGGCACATAGAAACGCGGTTTCCCGGGTTTTCAATTTTAGTGCTATCATTGTGAAACGTGCTCCTGATATACTCAACCCACGGAACAGATTCTTCTTTTGATTCAAACGCCACTTCTCCTGATGTGTTATATCAATTTCACATAAGGTATCCTATGCATGGTGGAACTAATAAAAGGAGAAATAGCAAAGCGTTTGGTTTGTCTGCTTACCTGCTGTTCGAACCGTATTCGTCTGCGTTCACATGTCTGTTTGTCCGTCTCTAACTCATATGATCTTTGTTCCCCAACTCGGGCACACTTAATCACACACGCGGCCTCATATCAAGCAGGGACCAGATACAATGCGCTTAATTTGCACCTGGCCACGTCATCCAATCTGTTTCTACTACCATCAGGTGTTATGTACGCTACCGGTGGTGGTCCCATGTGCTGTTGGTCGTTGCGTTGTTTTTGTGGTGGTTGTGGTCGGCGTGGGGGTGATGATGAGGTATTCATAGCACTGGCAATGCAAACGAATGTTTTAACATCCACCCACATAGACACATAGACACATTGCAGTGATTCACAAGGTATGTTTGTGTAAATCTGTGGGTGCATATGGTAGGTGGAACGTATCACAATTTGATTGATTTTTTGCCGCGTTTTCGCACAATCGAACAACTAAGGGTTTGATTTGGTTTAGTGATTTCCTTGAGTGTGGTGTGTTTATAGTTCACTGGGACTGTTTTTTCTAGATTGAATGTATCAACCCCTATTCAAAAAATCCTCTCTCGAGTCGTGAGAACACTGGAATCATTGACCTTAAACATTTCGATTTCTTTGAAGATTCAACCGTGTGACTTAATTCTCAGGGTGATTTCGTTTGTAGCTATATGTGAGCATCCGACAGTTAGTCTACGCGGGTTTTCTGTGAGAGCTTCTATCTGCTTGATCTAACCGTTTGTGCCACCTTACTTCCATGACGGTAGAGGGATTAAATTATGAGTGAAAATGGTTACAGTGATGGTTAATTATTAAGCATGTCATGCATCGACTACGCAAACTAACAAACTTACTTAAGTCTTATCATTAGCATCGACCGTCCCCGACCCTGGTGTGTCCGTTCCCGTAGACCTTCATCGACTGAACCATGACACGTTTCAAACCGACCAACAACCTAACGTTGATGTGTGCCAATATATGCGTGGATTAATTAATAGGCTTGATAATGAATTCACGGAGAACAAAATAAAAATGTAAGAATGTCTTTTTACTTCCTCTTTTATCTATTGAATATAAAAAGGCTGCCTGGGAAAATACGGAGATGGTAAAGAACCCGAGACTTTAACCCCTTGGCCACCACCAAGCACATATTTTCACCTACACTTCATCAAGTATTATCATTCGGTTTGTCTTGCTTCGTTGTCATACGTGATGACTTATCGAACTAGACCAAGTCATCAATACTTTCTGACTACAGCCGTTTTCCATTCATCGCGTCACATGTTATATATAACTCACAAACGACTTTTTCACCTTTCCTTACTCGTATGTAACTTGAACAGTGGGCTAATGAAAAACTAGTCAGAGTGGTGAGAGATTTCAGATAAATTCATGTGTAACGGCAGGAACAAAACCTGCTTTTTGCGGTGGCCTGTAGATGGCAGCGGAGAACGAGCCCCCAAAACGCCTTACGCTGTTCCGTATGTCAGGCTCGTTTCTCTGTGTAATTATGAGGTGGACGGTCTGCATTGTTCGGAGGATGAAACTCAGCTCGGCCCATCACGGATAAAAATGTTCAAAGTTTGGTGGGTTAAATGGACCGTTTCGCTTTTCTCTCTCTCTCTCTCTCCAGGAAACGAATATGTTTTGTTTGGAAAATACATCATACTGAGCTACTGCGTCGCAAAGTATTCGAAGGGTATTGCAAGTAGGTGCCTGTCTTTGCTGTACCCCGAGTCTTTCTTCACCTATTAGAGATCGCTCACTATTCATTGGGGTTTACCCGGTATATGTCATTTTTATGCACGTCCTCAGAGCATAATGAATTGTCTGCACAATGTGCGATTCCATTTTGGGTGTTACATTATGTGGAACGTGAGATCAGCGTCCAAGTTCTCGGGTATACCATGTGCCAATTCCGGTACGCTGCGATCACGAAAGCTATGTGACATCCTATCATCCTTTAGAAGACATCGTTAAACAGGATTGATCAACCGGGACAGAAAGGTTTCGCAGGTGGGTCCAGGCATGAACGAAAGACAAACGCATTCGGTATCAATCATTCAGAACTGCTCACACCAGGCTGCAAACTATCACACACTCACTAAATATGAGATACCATCAGTATTAATTCAATGGACCCAAATTAAGTCATGTAGATTGGGTTTTTATGTATTCTCACTTCATATAATTAAGTGAAGGAATGACAATTGTTTTCCCAACTTGTAGTAGGGTGCACTTTCTTAATCTTCATGATAAAATGTGGTCACCGTAATTTCATTCCAATTCTATTCATAGTTTCCGTTTAATCTAAATTTGTTTCCCAATCACGCGTATGCGAAAATCTGCGGTGAGTTCTGTCATCAAAACACTGCATATTGGACTTCATTGTCTAATATACTTTCATTACCAATGAGGACAGACGGAACGCTTGTCTTAAATTTGGTCTGACAGCTGAAGAAACAAAACCGTTCTGTTTAAAATGACATCAGGTATTTTATTGTCCTGTTTCACGGACTATCTCGTGCGTGTTGCTCACACACACATTGATGGCGGTTTTCAGTTTTGAATACGCTGCCGGGAAATAGAATCACCACTGATGTAACAGCCCACAATGTATTCGATCACACTAACATGGCAGAACACATTTTCGCCTCCGTTTCGGTTGAAACACAAGCTTGAGTGGACACGTATTTGAACGTGTGTGTGTGTGTTTGTGCCCGAGTATTCAGAAAAAAACAATATCCCGAATTCCAATCACAGCTTTTTGAATTTGTTTTATTTAATCCCTCACCTCATAAACATACATGAACAAGAGGTTTACAAGTAGTGAAAATACTCTTGTTGCAACAGGAAATTTCAATAATTGGTGGGAAATTGGTCCCGATTGATTCGGAGTTCAGATGGTGGAGGGGGTATGAAGGAATGCAGTTATTGCGTATAAAAAGGGGCTAGATGTCGTCAAACAAAGCGACACTGTTATGTTCGCAATTTATGTAATCGTTTAACTAACCCTACCATGGCACGCCTTCAGGCAACCCGGAGGGTGACATATGTACTTTTTGTTAGTAATGTTCTCCTGGCTCGGTGGAACAAACGCATACCTAAGAAAGAGAGAGAGAGAGGCGGAGGACACTATGATGTACAGACAAGATTATTCGGGGTTTTGTGGGTGGGCCGAACTAGGAATGACATAAAGAACACGCAAACACGAAATGATAAACAAACGAAGAGAAGGGATGAGAATAATAAATGGCCCTTGGTTCCCTAATGCACAATGAAAAAGGGGATAGACTTGACATTCTGGTTCATGTACGCATTGATCGATAAGGGTCTTTTCCTCCTGGACCTTCTGTTCATTTTAGTCTTGCCTGTGATATACGAAGCGCCTTTCGTGAGTGACGTTTCGAACTCGAAAACAGTGTAACCAATTTTCTTTGTTTTCCGAAGCCTACTATTTCTATCATTCATCGATCATTCGGTTACCTACGTCACACATATGTCATAGAGTTGTGCCGCGTTCGGACGCGTTGGATTTTAANGTCAGAATGCATCATATATCGCTCAATCATCTTCGATAGCAGAATAACAAAATTACAAAAGGTTTTCTACCCGCCGCTGATATAATCCTTATCTTTACTTGGGCAAAGAGGGGTGAATGGGCAGTGGAATTCGGTTTTCAGTGTGATGCTATGATTTACAAAATCGTAATTATCAGACAAATCTACTTGTCGTTTCAATAGTGGACAAATACTTTGAGTAGACACGCGTTCTACTTAAACAGTAACGACTCGGTGTGCAGTTCACGTGACAAGAGAGAGAGACCACATAGCATGGACCGAATAACCATGTCCGCGGAGAGTTAGTAGACCGGAAACAAACTGCTGAGTAGAATTTTCAGTCCACCTGCACTTTTATCCGATTGAGCTGTGTCAAACGACCAAGGGTGATTCAAACGAACAGGTCCATTCACACCATCCCGAAATGGTAGGTGTATCCGGTGAGGAAAGCTGACCGTTCTGTTTGACCNGGCTCGTGAACAACAACAAGTCACAGTTGTCGGTCGGATGATGGTGAAACACATTGAGTGGGACTGAACTTGTCAGATCTGAGATTGCGGGGAATATGCGAAAAATTCAACCGTCTCAATCTGCCACAAAGGAAAACCGGCCGCTACATCTGTGAAAAATTTACTGAGCGTTTTCTTCATGCCGTATTGGCCCAAAGTGGAACAAATATGATCACAAAAAAGCCAGTGACTAAGGAATAGTTGAGAATTAATTTTAAAATGTTCGTGTTTTGAAACCCATTTCAGAGAAGAAACCAACCTCAGTGTCCTCCACCTTTGTGATGGGTCGATAGAAGAAAATTCGGCACACTAGAGGCAAAATAATCCACATCTTATAAGCGAAACTCAACACTGGGAAGCTCTTTTACACAACGGGCTTGTGAGTTACGTTTGCTGTCGGACTGAAGGACAAGTGAACTACAGCTGAAAGTTCTACTCAGGAGAGTGTTCGCGTTAGTGAATCACCTGGTAGAATCATCGGAGGATTGTTATCACACAGTGGTTAGTATTTTTCATCAAATCTCTATCTAATCACTTTTTATCTAGGTTTTTTTGTCTCGAGTAGATGCATAAACATCAGTCACTTCTTTTATTTCATCCTTATGAGATATTTTGATTTCCGTGAACTAATTTGCGACCACG